CTCAACTCTGCGTGAATTTGTCTTTTGGTAAATAAAACGTGTACAAACAAACAAAATATTTCTTTCATAAAATTGCTGATCGTTTTTATCAGATAATTTTATCAGATAATTTGTTCAAAGTTCTAAACTCTGCGTGAATTTGTCTTTGTAAATAAAACTTGTACAAACAACCAAAATATTTCTTTCATAAAATTGCTGATCGTTTCTATCAGATAATTTGTTCAAAGTTCTCAACTCTGCGTGAATTTGTCTTTTGTTAAATAAAACTTGTACAAACAAACAAAATATTTCTTTCATAAAATTGCTGATCGTTTTTATCAGATAATTTGTTCAAAGTTCTCAACTCTGCGTGAATTTGTCTTTGTTAAATAAAACTTGTACAAACAAACAAAATATTTCTTTCATAAAATTGCTGATCGTTTTTATCAGATAATTTGTTCAAAGTTCTCAACTCTGCGTGAATTTGTCTCTTGGTAAATAAAACGTGTACAAACAAACAAAATATTTCTTTCATAAAATTGCTGATCGTTTTTATCAGATAATTTGTTCAAAGTTCTCAACTCTGCGTGAATTTGTCTCTTGGTAAATAAAACGTGTACAAACAACCAAAATATTTCTTTCATAAAATTGCTGATCGTTTTTATCAGATAATTTGTTCAAAGTTCTCAACTCTGCGTGAATTTGTCTCTTGGTAAATAAAACGTGTACAAACAACCAAAATATTTCTTTCATAAAATTGCTGATCGTTTCTATCAGATAATTTGTTCAAAGTTCTCAACTCTGCGTGAATTTGTCTCTTGGTAAATAAAACGTGTACAAACAACCAAAATATTTCTTTCATAAAATTGCTGATCGTTTTTATCAGATAATTTGTTCAAAGTTCTCAACTCTGCGTGAATTTGTCTTTTGGTAAATAAAACTTGTACAAACAAACAAAATATTTCTTTCATAAAATTGCTGATCGTTTTTATCAGATAATTTGTTCAAAGTTCTCAACTCTGCGTGAATTTGTCTTTTGTTAAATAAAACTTGTACAAACAAACAAAATATTTCTTTCATAAAATTGCTGATCGTTTTTATCAGATAATTTGTTCAAAGTTCTCAACTCTGCGTGAATTTGTCTCTTGGTAAATAAAACGTGTACAAACAACCAAAATATTTCTTTCATAAAATTGCTGATCGTTTTTATCAGATAATTTGTTCAAAGTTCTCAACTCTGCGTGAATTTGTCTCTTGGTAAATAAAACGTGTACAAACAACCAAAATATTTCTTTCATAAAATTGCTGATCGTTTTTATCAGATAATTTGTTCAAAGTTCTCAACTCTGCGTGAATTTGTCTCTTGGTAAATAAAACGTGTACAAACAACCAAAATATTTCTTTCATAAAATTGCTGATCGTTTTTATCAGATAATTTGTTCAAAGTTCTCAACTCTGCGTGAATTTGTCTCTTGGTAAATAAAACGTGTACAAACAACCAAAATATTTCTTTCGTAAAATTGCTGATCGTTTTTATCAGATAATTTGTTCAAAGTTCTCAACTCTGCGTGAATTTGTCTTTTGTTAAATAAAACTTGTACAAACAACCAAATATTTCTTTCATAAAATTGCTGATCGTTTTTATCAGATAATTTGTTCAAAGTTCTCAACTCTGCGTGAATTTGTCTTTTGGTAAATGTAATTTAAAATTGCAAGAAAATTTGAGGAAAATCAAAATAGCTGATTAAACATCGTGCTGTTTTTTTGTTTTTGTTTTGAATTAGTGAACAATGATTTCCCATTTTGTGGTCTGTATACTGGTCTATAACTGGTCTACATAACCTTTCGGACTCGAGTTCTCGTGATATTCCCAGAACCAGACATTAGGGTTTTAATTACTATCATACCAAGCCGACAAGAGAACATAGGCAAACATATATTTTTCTATCCAAAACAAGCCAAAATTGAATTATCAATTACAGTCGTTGCTGTTTAAAACAATTTATGACGTACAATAATTTAAACGAAGGAATCTCGTTTGATTTTCTTTGATCAGTTTCAATCGATTTTTTCTATTCAAAAAGCCAGTGTTCTCTTGTCAACTTCAATTACTGATGAGGCAAGCGTGTGAATCTTTTAAAGGTGGCACTTGGGAATCCCCCCTTTCATTTTATAGCGCACCGTAATATTTAAAGCTCAAGATATCCGGCATATCCACAAAAAATACCGACCGAGAAACAGCCAATCAAAGAACTCAATTATTGCTTGCCAGAAAATAACTGGCGAGTTTTGCTTTGTTTCAGATTTTTTTCCTCTTTCGTCTTGAAGTGCCACCTTAAAAATTATCACATCCCTGTTACATCAACTGAAGTTGTAACCATAGCAACGTACATAGCGAAGTGATGTTGCGTTGTGACATTTGTGTGTGCATACATAATATTCTAAAGATCTTGAGAGATCAACGCTACAGAATTGAAAACCCGCCTTTGTTTTTGCAATAAAGTTTCGATAAATTTTCAAAGCAAGTCAAGACAATTTCCAGAGTCAACCTAAATCAAATTATTAACATCCGGCATAAATGAAATGATCGCTAATCTTGAACCTGTATAATGGTCTGCAAAGTTTGTAGGCTAGTCCCAAAAAATGTTGGCTGATATTAAACAAGTTATAATTAAAAGTACTTTGTGCCAATTTCCCCCGACCAGTCCCTGGCGTTTTCACGACTCGAAACAGACAATCAATAAATCCGATGTAATAAAACCGAGAGTGAACATTTGCAAATTTAGAAATTTGATCAGCCAACATTTTTACTGCAATTGTTTAATAAGTTTAAAGTTCTCATCTTTGTAGTATTTCCTCCTGATTCCGTGATTCCAGTTTGTCCTTGTGGCCAGATTCTTTGCTCTCCTTTCCTCTTCATCAAGTTTGTTTTTCTGAAAATGAAATAAAAAATTCAATAATTAGCAATTTATCAAATTTCCAACCTATACAACTGTTTAAATATGGCGGCTTTGACACGCGTGACTATTGCTTGCGTAACTCGCAAATTTGAATATTTTGAAGGTTAAAGTTAAATTTAAGAACAAAACACGGCCACAAAAATACAAGAAGTGAGGTAAAGGAAAACCAAGGAAAGATTTTTCTAAATTATTGCAACAAAACTTGACGTCTCTCCGCATTTAAAAATACAAAATATCGCATGCACGTGGCCTCGTTGCAAATTTAAAACGCCGTTATAGACTTTCAACAGGTAAAACATTTCTTACCAAATTTGTCCTGGTAATTTGTAATCTTATAATCTTTATTTCAGCGTTTGTTTCAGGCGTTAAAACTACTAAACTGTTTGTAATTTCTCATAAAATATTATGCAGCACTAGTTCACGCCAGAGACTCGTAAACCACCGCCTTTACTGTATTGCAAACGAAACAATTTAAATAAATGTCGAGTCGAAGCGACGCTCAAAGCGAACAGCAAGTGCACGTGTTAACTTACTCGAGTGAAATTTCGTTACTTTTAGCCTTCTGAATAAAATAAAACGGTAATATTTTCCAAAAGCAGTGCTCACCTTTGGTTTGAATAACGTAAAGACGTCCATCCCAGCTTTGCACATCATGTCGAACATCCGTCTTCCTTCAAGAGTACAAACAGCGCACGTGTTAACTCATTTCGCCAACATTTTGATATATTTTAAGCTTTCTGGACAAAATTAAGGTAATATTTTCCAAAAGCAGTACTTACCTTTGGTTGGAATAACCTAAACGTCTTCCTTCCCAGCTTCTACTGTGCACATCAAGCATCTTCTTCAGTCTTCAGTAAGAAGACACGTCTTCACACATCCACGACCAGCGTGGTTTGACAAGAATTCAACAATTTGTCATGAATATGGATTAGAAGCTGGAAACCAATCACTGGCAATTACGTCACACGCACGCTTTTTCAATCAGCGAATCACGAGCCAGAAAAAGAAAGCCCTTTTCTTTGGATGTTTTTAAAGGAAAAAAAAAAAATAAAACTAAGAAAAGAAATGTTCTTGGTCAAAAATGTGTCTGGCGGGAAAAAGAAAAATGTATTACAACAAGAAGAAATTACAAAAAGAAAGATATTAATCAGTTGGTGGCACAAGCTAATCGGAAAAAATAATTCCAGTTTCTCCCTACAGGACTCGAACCTATCACCACCCGCACACCGGGCGGACAATCAACCACTGGGCTACAGGTGACTCGTGGGTGTTTTGGCCACATAACTAGGTTCAAATGTGACAAGCGTTCGGCACACTGCTAGGATCAGTTTGTCGATATGTGAGATAAGTATGGAAAGAAATGATATTAAATGTTAAGCTTGGGATACAAGTTACTTGTAAAAAGAATTAATTCTGAGTTCTCCTAACAGGAGTCGAGTCTATGACCTTACACCCACCAGAAATTACCAGCTGTTCATTTTTAGGAATTAATTAGGATTAAGCAAACCAAGTAATTCAAGGGATTAAAAAAATAGTAAAAATATATTACAACAAGAAGAAATTACAAAAAGAAAGATATTAATCAGTTGGTGGCACAAGCTAATCGGAAAAAAGAATTCCAATTTCTCCCAACAGGACTCGAACCTATGACCACCCGCACGCCGGGCGGACAATCAGCCACTGAGCTACAGGAGACTCGTGGGTGTTTTGGCCACATAACTAGGTTCAAATATGACCGAGCGTTCGGCACACTGCTAGGATCAGTTTGTCGATATGTGAGATAAGTATGGAAAGAAATGATATTAAATGTTAAGCTTGGGACACAAGCTGCTTGTAAAAAGAATTAATTCTGAGTTTTCTCCGAACAGGAGTCGGGTCTATGACCTTACACTCACCAGAAATTACCAGCTGTTAATTTTTAGGAATTAATTAGGATTAAACAAACCAAGGAATTCAAGGGATTAAAAAAATAGTAAAAATATATTACAACAAGAAGAAATTACAAAAAGAAAGTTATTACTCTGTCCGTGACACAAACTACTCGGAAAAAAGAATACCGAATTATCCCAACAGGATTCGAACCCATGAGCTCCCGCACACCGGGTGGACGCTCAACCACTGAGCTACAGGAGACTCGTGGGAGTTTAGGTCATATAACTAGGTTCAAATAAATGTCACAAACTTTCCGAGTTCATGAGTCGAGTCTATGACCTTACACACACCAGACTTTACAAGTTTAGGAATTAAAGGATTAAGCAAACCAGGGTCTCAAGTCTAGATGGCTTTTTCAAAGTAATTCAAAATATTTTTCTTAACTTATAAGGATATTAAGAAAATATCCCCTAATTGTTAATTTTATTTCAAAAATGTGTCTGGCAGCATAAAGAAAAAAATATATTACAGCAAGAAGAAATTAAAAAAGTGAGATATTATTCAGCCAGCTACTCGAAAAAACAATTCCTTGTTCTCCCAACAGGAGTCGAACCAATGACCTTCCGCACACGGGGCGGACACTCAACCACTGAGCTACAGAAGACTCGTTGGAGTTTTGGTCGTATAACTAGGTTCAAATAAATGTGACAAACGTCCCACACACTGCTGGGATTAGTTTGTCGATATGTGAGATTAGAATGGAAATAAATTATAGTAAATGTTAGTCTTGGGACACAAGCTACTCGGAAAAAGAATTCCGAGTTCTCCCAACAGGAGTCGAGTCTATGATCATATACACGCCAGAAACTACAAGCTGTTGATTTTTCGGAATTGAAGGAATCGTTAAAGTAGCTACATAATGGTTTGCACATCTTGAAAAAATTAGCCTAAAATTTTCAAGTTCGTTGTTTGCAATCCGTCTTCATCGTTTCCATCCTTAACCAGCCTTGTTTCTGATTGGTTTCTTATTACCTATTTGTTGTTTCTCTATCTCAGTAAACTATTATTTTGAGGTTTCCTTCAATTTGAAAGTAATTTTGTACATCGCAAATAAAATACAGTAAAAACCCGCGTGTAAGAACCTACAATTTTCTAAGTTTGGCAAAATAGGTTCTTGTATTTCGAGGCATTATACAGCATTTATTCATAACTGTATTGCTTCAAGCCTCATGCAAAACTCACTAAACAATCTATATCTCTTCAACAAGAGCTGTATAATAAAAAAAGAAAATAATTAGATAATTATAGCAAAAATAAAAGGATATAAAATGGCAAATTTCTGCCAGCAGGTTCTTAAACCACTAGGTTCTTACACGTGGGTTTTTACTGTATCGCAAAATATCGTGACATAGCTCCTTTAAGCAAACCAGGGTCTTAAGTCTAGTTGACTTTTTTCAAAGTAATTCAAATGGTTTGTAGTACATTAAGACAATATCCCCTAATTGTTACAATTAATTAATTTAGTCTTTTATTATTTTATTTATTCCAAACCATGAGAGACATGAGAGTTTAAAGCAAACCAGGTAACATATTTTAGACACGTTGTTTAGCGATGGTGCAAAATGAGAGCCATATTATTTGTCTTACAACCGCCAACCGTGCGCGTCGCGCGACTCATTGTGTGACTCGGTTAGCTTCCAAATAATTTCTATAAAGAATATCCAGGAAAAGATAGCTAATATTACCGCGCTATTAATGTGCCTTTGATTTCATGAGCGACTAAAATGCTCATTTATTCTACATTTTTGTGTCTTTCTGTGAAAGGACGGACCACAAACGGACTTATTATCGGAACAATGGCCAGTTGGTTAAAATGCTTAGCTGTTTCCAATGTCCCTTTCAACGTCCCGTCACACTCCATATGACTCTCTCCCCTGCGCTCATATGACTCTCCTCCCTGACCCCTGATCTCCTCTTCTTTACTATCTAGTATAGAAATGGGGTACCTGGGAAGGGGTGGGTGGGGTTGAGGATGTTTGAACAACTTCTGTAATTTAATATTAACAGCATTTCACCTTTATTTAGTTCATGTGGACGACATTAACATTATCTGAAACTTAGGAAGTCGCTCCTTCCGAATGTCTTTGTTGTCTATTACAGTGAATGATTGACAGTGATGAGTAATATAGCAATAGGAAACATTTTTTGGTTTTTGATTATAGCCATTAAGCTCCTTCACAGCCGTTACTTTGGTCAGCTGATTATTCATTGATTACTTATTGATGCCATTGATCATCGATATGCCGTTGGTCAATTTTGCAAATAAACCAATAAAGCAATTAGCAATCATAGGATAAAAATATAACAAGAATAATCACATTACATTGTTTGGAGAATATTTAGAGAAAGAGTTAAAGGAGCCTACGTCACGGATGGCACATCTTGAAAAATTTAGCCTAAATTTTTCTAAAGTTTGTCGTTTGCTTTCCGTCTCAATCTTCCCCAATATTAGCCATCCTTGTTCCTTTTTGGTTTATTATCACTTCTTTGGTGTTTTCTTCCTTAGTTAACTATTATTTTATGGTTTACTTCGATTTGAAGGTGATTTTGTACATCGGAAAAAAATGACTAAATATATTGTGACATAGCTCCTTTAAGTTGAACAAACGCGAAGAAATGTCTCAATAAATAAATAAAGTGACAAATACAAACAAGTTTATAACAGCTTTATTCTTTAACAATAGACAAACCCAAGTATACGCAGACATACTATATTTGATATTTTTCATATTATAACTGTAATGATGTTGTTTATAAGTAACCTTCCGTTCTGTATAAGCCTTTCAAAATTATACAGTTTTTATTTTATTTTTTATTGAATGATAAAAGCGAGTAATATAAGCGATATGATAAATCCTTCATAAAGTAATCTATACTGTCAAACTCAGTGTTGGCAACTTGTAGTCAGTATTTCCCATAAATATTTTCAATTTTGACGAGTTTGAGCATCTTCCGATTTCAAGCACAGTCAAATGTAACATTATATAAACAGAATATCTTGCTACCTAAACTATTAGTAAACATTGTATATTAAAGTTAATAACTGAAAATCACTCAGTAATCAAAAGTAAGTGTTTTGAAAGATTTGAGCCTAAATCCCCATTCAAACGGTCACAAAATTTGTCTCAACATTCTCTCAACATTTGTTGAGACATGTTGAGACCATGTCCGGTCAAACGGCCTCAACCTCAACCTCTCAACATTTTAAGAACAAAAGAAATGTTGTGACGATGTTGAGACAAAGTTTAAATGGATTCAAACTCGTCTGACCTCTCATTTGAGAGGTGTCAAACGGCTTCAAAATCGGCTCAACAAAATTTTGCGAGAATGTTGAGACAAATGTTGCGACCGTTAGATAGATAGATAGATAGAAAACTTTATTTATGTGTCAAGCCTTGCAGCCTGGGGATCAGGGCTTAATATTTGTTTTCGATTAAAACCAAAACTGCTCTTCTAGCTATTATTCTTCAGAGCTTTGTTGTCTTAAACTTAACAAGTGATAGCACATTGTACAGCAGTGTGGAAGGTAACGTTGGTATTCATGCTCCAAGCAGCTTCTTAGCAGTGTAACTCTGAAATAAAACAGAAACAGACAGAATGAGTAGTTATTACAGACCAGAAATCGACAAAAGAACAATTTTTAACTACAAAAAGGAGACTGAAACAGACCACCTCCCCAAAAAGGAAGCATTGTCTTAAATATACCATCATTTCTTTCCACATTGTCCTAGCTATTTGAAAACTGAATAATGAAGAATTTAATAATTATTAAAATGGAGAAAAAATGGTGGTGAAAGAATACAAATATAAAGGGATCCATTTATTGAAAACTAAGTACAAGAAAGAATCAACTAGAAAACATAGTTATATCTTTGAAATCCATACAATCCCGGTTATAAGCCCTTATAAAACGTCACGGTTTTGGGTGGGCTGAGCTGATAAGAAACGAGTAAAGGCTTACTTTGTATGCGAAAATGAAACATATTTTCCATTTACTGGCCTTTAAGCTTAAGGTATGTAAGTTGATATTTAATTAAATATTCCGAGTAAATAGCATCAAACAGGGTAAGTGCGTACCTGACGTCCTTTGTGATTTGTAGTCTCTAAAAACATTCATCGGAAATTTTCAGCCAAAACTAATAAAATCTTCATCGGTTTGAGAAGGACTTGGAAATTTTTCGCAAATGCTTTTTGAGAAAAAAAAAAAAAAAAAAACCAGAACAGAGAACGGTTTATAGACGGACATAGCGTTATCTTGGCAGAAAATTCCATAGAATATCCTATGCAATTTGATGTATTGCACCATTAGTTAAAACGTATTGCACTCACCGGAACACTGTATACAAATAAGGCGATGACCAAGAACAGCAAAAAGAAAACCAAGCCCTTTATGAAAAAGCCCTTGTAGTTTTTCCACATGATGTAACGAAAAGTCTTGAGAGGAGCCAAGTACCACAAAAACGAATGAGGCGGACGGCTGTGGTGATGAGTAAAAAGTAAAAAGGATGAGACAGAAAACTAAGCGAATATCAAAACCAAAATGAGATGAATTTAATTTGAACTTGTTATGCGCGTTTGAACATCTTATTGATACCTGCCCAATATGAATTTATGAAAGATGATATCTTTTGACATCTTTCTGAATTATCAGTCTAATAATTGTAGAGTTGATATATGTGATTTTAGTTGATCTTTTTTCCATGCTTGCGATTTGAAAAACATTTCTCAAACTCATTTTGTAATTCATCAAGTTAAAACAAAGAAAATTATAACCGTGACGGAGGTTTGGATACCCGGTCTTAATTAGTTTTTTTTACGATTGTATTTCTTCCTTTACTCCTTAGATTTTGTTTCGATTGTGAAGATATATCAAACACTCGAGACAGTGTTTCATCGGCTATCCAAACACCTCGAATTTCGTCAAAAATACTCCGCTGCGCGTCGTATTTTCAACTCCATTCTCGGTGTTTGGATATCCAGATGAAGCACTGTCTCTCGTGTTTGATATATTACTTCAATAACAAAGACAACAATGAAATGTATTTTAGTACTGATAATGAACTGTATTCAAATTTCAGTCTTGGTTTTAAGGGCTGTGCTCTGTATGTATAATCATGTATCATGTGACTTACATGGGTTTCTCTAGCGTTGGATGTTGATTGGGTTCTGATTGGCCTAGTCCCACGGGAGTCGCCTCAGCCTCCTCCTCGTTTAAAATCTCCAAGGTCATTTCCACTTTACCCTATAACACAATGAGATAGTCATATATTCAGTTATAACATGTAACTTGAATTGAATTCAAACTTGAATCTTAGAAAAGGTAGCATTTTACGGCTACTTTAGTCTTTACAAATCCAAGCTGGATTGACATGTCAGTTCTGAAAATTTGATCTTTGCATTAATGAAATATAAGAACTTGTACTGATCATGAACTGTATTCAAATTGAAATCTTGGTTTTAAAGAACTGTACGTTAATTATCATTTTTTTTATATTACATGTAAATGCAGATCATTCGGGAATTAAAATAAGAAACATAATCGCGACTTACCGTGATGTCCGATTTATCATAACAGGCCCACCAACCGGTTATCTTTTGTTGAAT